CCTTCCACAGAATCTCAATTCAAGAATTGATATACATATACACCGATAACAGAAAAAATTCCAGGCATTATATCGAAAGATACTTTAATAACATCGCACTATTTGTTTGTTAAATAATTTATGTGATCGCTTTGGCTTATATATCAGTTAATTAACTCCTTCAAGTTCGCGCTAAAGATATATTCTACCATTTATATATTCAAATATAATATTCAATATATAGAAGAGAACTAGCTTAAGTCTTTATATTTGAGTCATGTAAAAAAAAGATCCAAGGTGTATAACTTGCGATAAAAGTCTTAAATCACTAGAAATTGAAGAGCCACCTTAATAGTGTTTCGGAGCAAGAGTCTGATAACGCCCATTGGGCTCTCAAAAGAGAATTTAAGGAATCAAACTAAATATTCTAACAATAACCCAAAGGACATTGCAATCCAGAAATAGGACGGAAGTATAATATTTAAATGGTTATGTAGTAGCCTTGAATGACATTATCAACGAGGGAGACCGTTCTCGGTTAAAAAAAAAATACAAATAAAGTTGTGTATAAAATATTGAAAACCTTGAATAAATTCACAAAACACTATGTAGACAAAGGATTCAGCCTTGGACATGGTGATCGAAAACATTCAATTGAGTAATATGATGAAGTAAATCAAAGCTAAAATTTCTACTAAACTGTAAAGAAAATCATAAAATTGGTGTCCAAGTCATTCAAACTACTGTTCATCGTGAACTACCCAAGTTTTAATTAACAATCTTCACAGAATAAGTGAAAGGCCGGTTGGATATAACGAAAGAAATTCCTTACCACAATGGTTGTAATTCACCGGACCAAACCAACCTACAATATCTAAACTCGGCAGTTAAATGCGAAATAATGAAATTTATTAGAGATTTCTATCAAAAAGGGAAAAATAAGCGTGAAATTATCTCATTAAGATCTATGATGAACAAAGATATTTAATCTGCGTTTAGGTATTGAAAACCTGGCTATGATCTGGCTTTGTTTCTTCAGAATGTTTTTCTGTTATAAATTTGTTCCTGCATGCTAAAATGAACTGACTTCACCCGTGGTCTCTGCTTTTTGCAATTTTCCCCCGATATAATTTTGTATCTGACAATCAAACATGATACAGCAATATTGTCATCATCATTTTCTGACTAAAAGACAACTATTTTTCCCCAGAACCTGTCAATTTCAATTTTTCTTGGCTAAAAATGTGATAAATATCTCTTTCAGAATTTTCTCTATGTCCTGTTAAAATACCTCCCATCTTCCCCGCTAGAGGCGCTGCTTGCGAGCGAAAGGGCAAATTTGCAAATAACTCGAAGAATATTCGGGATAGAGACCTGTAATTTCCACTATAAGTTTTTACAGATTCTACTCTAATTACTGTTAAAATTTCAGTAAGATTAGTTACGTTTTGAGGACGTGTATAAACGACATACATACATACACTGACTTTTATATATATAGGGATTCTCTCAAAGTTTGGTGTATTATAAACCTCTTCTATACAGGAGTTTATGGCAACTATGATAATGAGATGAAAAACTATTAAAAAGTTGTCATATACTCCTGTATAAGGGTTTATAATATTGGAAGCTTGAGAGAATCTATAATGAGGCAAAAAAACTCTTATTCTCGTAAGCCATATTTTATTATTATTTATATTTCAGAGTAAATTATTTTTGAAATGATCATTTAGTTAAGTTCCTAGATTTATTTGACCCATAAGAGATAGGATCCGGACACTAAAGTTACATTGTAACCACAATATTGGATCAGATATTTGAGAATTATTCAGTGATAATTCAATGTTATAAATATAATCGACCAAATACATTTTGGTTTGTAATTTCAAATCTCAGGTAGTTGACGATATCTTCATTAAACCGAGTCTTTTTTAATAATCAATAATCATAAATTATTTTTTTTGGGAAAGTTCGATATGAACAAAGTTATTCTTGACGCGATATGAGTGTTATTTTCCCTATTAAGATATTTTAGATAATCTAATCTATTAATTATATATTTTTAGAAATGCGATTCAAAACACTATATAATAAATGTTTAAAATATATAATATACTCAAATATTAGATCTAATTGTTGCTTAGGCCTTTTAATGCTATCACCCATTTCCATTTAGATGTATATTATTTTATAATATTCGAGAATACGCTAAAATTTAGATATTTGCAATTTATGAAATTATCTTATCAAAGTACCACGAGTTATTTATACAATTATGTTAAAAAATAAACAAAATTCTCATTCAGAATATCTGCATTTGATGAAGAAGTATCAAGATGACATTACAGCCATCAAAGGTAATCCAGTACTCTCCGTTGATTCTTCCTATGAACAATTCTAATTAGAAGAATGGATAATTTTGAAAATAAATGTTTTTTTCAAATGGAGAAACATAACTCAAAATATTATATATATATTCAAGAAACACAGATATCGGATTCAAAATTGCGACATTTCATTAATAAAATTAGTACCCAGCTCTTTATCTGAAGGATGCTCTATATGAAACTCTCTTCCAAATTGATATAATCTCTAATATCATATGTGCGTTAAAATGATAATATATTTGAGATCTAAAATAATAATTATTATATTTTTGTTTTATCAAAATTTACGAGAAATAGCAATCGTTTATCGATTTTAGTCCATTTGGACCTAACCACATTTAAGATCTAGATTTCAAAGCTCCAAATAATATTTAATATTTTATTTGATATCTCTCTTCTACTTTAAGAACAAAACTATTTGAAATGTTGAGTATCTTCTAGTGAAACCCAGGTAATTAATTTCCCAATGATTCTTATATTCAATGAACCCAGGTAATCAATACTTTGATTCTCATAATTGAAAAACTCAAGTAATGCCTTGATTCTATTATTTGGGGAGCCCAGGTATTGTCTAGGTTCTTATATGTGAAAAACCCAGGTAATATAGTGATTTCATATTTTGAGAGCCCAGATAATGTTATCATATATGTATGTATGACCGGGTGGAAATGTCTTAATCATGTGAAAATATGTGGGTAAATCTGATGATGTCTTTGTTCTAATTAGTGCATAACTTGGTTAATGTCATAGTTTGTTCACTTGTAAATACTCTACCAGGTTTATATAATTAATTTATTAATATGGCACTCACTTTAACCGTTTATCCAGACGGGAGAGGTTTCCTTTCTTGTTATCAACCAATAACCTTCCAGGAAAATTTCCATCTATAAAAAGTCTTCTTTATAGTCTACAATTTTCACTTTAAAAAATATATATATTGGGTTGTAATATTGTCAAACTAGAATGCTAACACATCGGTGATGCCCGAGTCAACTATGTTGGCCAAACCTATATGGTCTTGAAACAATTGATATTATTAGTATTGATAGTGAAGATAAATATTACTTATAATATCCTTGTCATCTCCTTTTTTCAATTACCAAATAATAAAATGAATAGCGAGCTAATTTGCATATTGCGGGGGATTTATCTTGAATTTTCTGCTTGTCGACTTATCATCCATAGCCAACAAATCATATTTGCATATGCGTTTAGACCACTAATTAAAATCAATAAATTCAAACTAACTTATTCAGTGGAAGAAAAAAAAAGGAATATATTTGAAAATTAATGGCTGAAAGGTGATTCTTGATGGGTGATATTTTCCAATGCAGACATTTGAAAACGCTTCAATCGTGAGGATTTCTTTGGAAACGTATGAAAAATAAAGTAAGCATTTTTTTCAGTTTAAAGTCAAAAAATATATATTTGGATCCTCCATATTGAATTAATTGAGAATGGAAATTGTTATACATAAGGCATTACAGCGCCACCTTTATACAATAAATCAAACTATATATAATAGCACGATGTATTCTTTTACAAAAAAAAAACGTTCCTACTATTTTTACAACAATGGGATATAATTGAGAAGCGCCCTATCCAATAAAGAGGAACCATAACAGCAGTAAAGCCACTTTAATCCGCCAAAACGCTATTATATTATTTCGACTTAGAGAGCTATGTCCCGCTAGGGACACTTGCACTTTAAAGAGAAACTAAACATAGAAATAAAAGAAAAAAAAGATCATATGAAATATGTACAAGAATCAGTATGCAATATAGTTAGATGAAAAGAGAAAAAATATCAACTGAAAAATGTACAGAGTTGGTATGCAAATTTAGTTAAATGCAATCAATTGTAAATTAACGTATTCCAGGAAAACAATTAACAGATTACCGATATTACAATGCATGTATTATTGTTTTTGATTATTATTCCTATATATATCTGGATTTATAAAGGAATTATTGTGGAAAGGTAATTAATAATCTGTGTAAATAAGCTTTTAGCCAGTAGAGAAATATATATGAATAGTATAAATAGGAACCAAAACGGCGCTTCCGAGGGAAATATTTTCGCTTTATCGTATATTCATTTCAAGCGCTTTCGGGTATCACAAACCCTGTAAATTCCTGTAGAAGGGTTTGTGATAACTTAAAGCTTAAGATAAATATAAAATAAAGCGAAAAGCCTACCCTTCGAGAAGCAGTTTTGCCTATAATTTATATCTATTGGGGAAAACTTTACCTTTCCGCATATATAAGTTACATAGAGCATAAGTTGCATAGAGCAATGCACTGACACAATTAAATCGAGTAAACCGCTGGGAGGGTTCATCAATGATACGCCAGGCCCTCCCAATATTGTCCAATGCAGAAAAAAAAGTAGGAAAGAGTTTTTTTTTTTTTTTTGCTTATCCCTAGTACATGTGGTACAGGCCATGATTATCATGGTGGGTAGTTAGCGACTGCTTTTTACTGTAAGCGCACCACATGTCTACACATGTGAAAAGCAGTTCGACTTTGCACTTACAAATGCCAGAGCCCCGTTTGGTTACTTGCACTCGCTAGTGGGGGTTGGACTTTTGCAAGAATCGGGGGGCCGAGCATTTTTTTTTAAACAGAAAAAAGTGTCCAATGCGGGAATCGAACCCGGGTCCTAGTGGTCGAAAACCAAACGGTTTAACCAGCCTTCCACCGACCTAAAAAAGATAAATGTTATAACATAATTTTATTTCTTGTATAAATTGTTGAATGTTTTCTTAGATAAACTAATTGTTTCACAATTTATTTCTCCATTACCATAGTTGAAATTTCTTTTCTCTCAAAACATTCATATATTATGTAATGAATCAGTTGATTTTTTTTTGTTAGAATTATCAGTTTGTTCTATTTAATCGATTATTATTGACAGACAATTCTGCGCGCGCACTGAATATTCTGTACTGATTATTTTAAAGATGTATTCTACCATCAAAATTGAGTATTTTTATGGCTGTTATTTTTCATGTGTAATGACAAATAGTTAGTAATAGAAAGTATGTAGAGTTTACAGTTGATTATGTTCTAATGACTCTCTCATGACTAGTGCTCGATAAAAAATTGAAACTAAAATAATCACTTTGGAAAAACGTTATTGAAGTGTTGTTTAAGGGTGAGTGTACATTTAAAGGCGAAAATTATTTTGATAATGTTTTATGTATATGAAACCTATACTCTTCAGATTTTTTGTGAAAGAGTATAGGATTATTATCTTTATTCTAAAGGTCTGCAAAATGTCTCTGCTTAACATAAAACTCAATGGAAAAACTTGAGTGACTGAAAATTCTGATGCCGCCCTTTTCTGTTATTTGAAAAAGACAGAAGCATTTAGGTAAAAAATAGTAAAAATGTGATATTATACTGGATTAAGGTGCATAAATTATGATGGCCTTTTCTTTTTCAGAAGTAATTATGTTCACCTTGGTTATATTATTATTATTATCATTTACAAAGCACGCGATATCCGTCTTGGATATTTGCATGCATACACAAGTTTGGGAGCTTATTTACAGTAATTATTAATATGATTTTAGTTATTATAGTAAAAATTATTAACATATTTGTCAGTTAGTTAACGATTTAATTACCCTATAATGAATATTAGTGAACATCACAGATAAGAACAGAAATTTAGAGCTATTTACAGCATATAACTATATACGAGTTATTACAGCCCAGGCTATCTATTACTAAAAATTGCTCACAATCGTTGCATGATATTTTATAGATGCCGTTATTGAGGGATAGAGGGTTAAGTTTGATGGAGCTTTTTGTTATGGGGTGCCGTAAGGATGCTTCTAGGGAAGGCGAATTTTGAAAAACGTGCGAATACCGAATTTTCGTAAAAATAACGCAATATCAGAGTTCGTGGTCGAAAAAGGTAGGACACAGACGTTTTTATACAGCGGAGGTGTAACTTTTTTGTGGTTCGGAACGTAAAAATGGCGGTCAATAAAATTATGAGGGTAACCGGCGGATAAAAGATGGGTGTAAACGGTACGCTTCTCGATCGTTCTAAATAAGGCAAGGGAACAATGAGTATATACCCGTTTGGAGAGAGTTTTTACCGTGGTGATTTTGTGAGAAACCGGGGCATGTGATAAAAAGTGTAAATAGGAGGGAGTGAAGTTAGGCTTGCGAAATACGGTGGTCTGAAAAGTGCCATTAGTGTTGATGACTAAAACGTCTAAAAACGGGATGCAATTTAAACATGATGGGTTGTGAGTAAAACGGAGATCATGATGGTATGAGTTTAAAACCGTGAGTATGGGGAGATGGTCGGTATCACGATGGAGGCAAAAAATGTCGTCAACGTACCTCGACCACATCTCGATCCCCAAATGATTATGGGAAACTAACCACCGGTCCAGATTAGACATAACAATCTCAGCTGCTATTGTGGAAAGAGGGCTGCCCATAGGGGAGCCTCTCATCTGTACTCAGTACAAGATCCATCTGAATTTTTTACAAGATTAAAGAATGTCTCCCAACCTCGTGGTCTCACAATGTCGACTTTTGACGTGACATCACTCTTTCTGTGCCTCCCGCATTCTCTGATCATAGATGGCCTTAGAGCAACTTCTTTCTTCTTCCACCCTTCCTAGTAATAATCAAAAAACCATCTTGGATTTATTCACCATCTGCCTTGACATGAATGCTTTAGAATTCAATGGCTGTTTCTTTGTACAGATGAGAGGCTCCCCTATGGGCAGCCCTCTTTCCACAATAGCAGCTGAGATTGTTATGTCTAATCTGGACCGGTGGTTAGTTTCCCATAATCATTTGGGGATCGAGATGTGGTCGAGGTACGTTGACGACATTTTTTGCCTCCATCGTGATACCGACCATCTCCCCATACTCACGGTTTTAAACTCATACCATCATGATCTCCGTTTTACTCACAACCCATCATGTTTTAATTGCATCCCGTTTTTAGACGTTTTAGTCATCAACACTAATGGCACTTTTCAGACCACCGTATTTCGCAAGCCTAACTTCACTCCCTCCTATTTACACTTTTTATCACATGCCCCGGTTTCTCACAAAATCACCACGGTAAAAACTCTCTCCAAACGGGTATATACTCATTGTTCCCTTGCCTTATTTAGAACGATCGAGAAGCGTACCGTTTACACCCATCTTTTATCCGCCGGTTACCCTCATAATTTTATTGACCGCCATTTTTACGTTCCGAACCACAAAAAAGTTACACCTCCGCTGTATAAAAACGTCTGTGTCCTTCCTTTTTCGACCACGAACTCTGATATTGCGTTATTTTTACGAAAATTCGGTATTCGCACGTTTTTCAAAAATTCGCCTTCCCTAGAAGCATCCTTACGGCACCCCATAACAAAAAGCTCCATCAAACTTAACCCTCTATCCCTCAATAACGGCATCTATAAAATATCATGCAACGATTGTGAGCAATGCTACATAGGTGAAACTGGTCGAACCATCGCCACTAGAATCCGCGAACACAACCGTAATATACGTTCCAAAGATCGAAAATCTCTCATCTTTCAACACATGGCAGATTTCGACCATTCCTTTAATTTAGACGATACGATTTCTGTATACAGGGATATTGGAAACAAGTACCAACGCTTGGTTCTGGAAGCACTGGTGTCCAACTGTACTCCCAGTTTTAACCGGAAGATTGATCTCCCACCGCAATATACAATATTTTACGGCCTCACTCGCTGATATGTTTCTGGGTTTTTATTGTTATTTACGGTTCAATTTTTATCTCCGTGTTTTGCCTTCAGATTTAATTTTTATCTCCGTTTTTGCCTCTATTTCTCACACAGAGTTTGTTTTATTTTTATTTGTAAATATGCAAATTCCCCTTTCCAATCTCCAGTATGTAAAATTCCTTATTCTTTGCGCGTATATATGTAAATATTTTCGCTTATAAATATGGCACTTCTTTGTCTACACTTGTATTAGACCTGAAGAAGGGCAGTTGCTGCCTGAAAGCTCGTCGTGTTCTATTAAAAGAATCTTACCACGTTACCCTGTTTTTCTTTGAATATTACAGCGTGGCGATATGATGTCTGATCCTAACCTTGAATATCTTGCCTTTTATAAGCGGCAGCTGGACAAGAAGTCTTTGCAGCTCGCCCGTTGGCGCTGTCATCTTGCCTTTAACCTAAAATGTTCCCAGGCCTCCTTCATACCACCCTCTCTTAGGATTAGGGATCCAGTACAAAACCATTGCTCCGCTGCAATTATACACAGAACCGAAGAACAGCTTCTTAACTCGAGAATTAGAGGCTCTCGTGCCATGATCCGTTTTTTACAAAAAACCATCAGAGGTCTGCTTTGCCTGCTCTCTCCCAGAATCCCTTCCAATGATCTCGGCTCTCTTATACAAGGCATAACCGACCGAGTTAAACTTCAGAACTCTGAGATTGAACTCCGGCACCAGAGGAAGCTGAAATTCTGGCACGTGAAATATGGTTTTCCCTTGCGCACCCGCTCCCCCTCTGAAGATACCATTGTTAACCTAACCGACATCGTATTTTCAGACAAGCAGATATCCCTACTAGAGAAAGGCCTTAGTTTTCGGTTGCCCAATGAACCTGATCTTTCATGCACGATTAGCTGTATTGAATCTTCCCTTCAGCACCAGTCCCACACAGACAAACATCACATCCGTTCTACCATAGCCAACAAACTTCTTGCTGCTTACAAGAGTTCTTCGTCTCGCTCCAGTTCCGTCAAGAGCGATCTTGCCTCCTTGAAAGCCCTCAAGAGCCATCATGATATCCTCATCACTAAATCAGATAAGGGCTCACAAGTAGTTGTGTTAAAAGTAGATGATTACAAGAAGAAAATGTCTGATATCCTTTCAGACTCCGATACCTTCCAAGAGATTTCACCTGAACGTGTTTGTGCTATTTCTGATGCCTACAAATCATCACTCAGATTGCTCAAAAGAAACGAATGCATTACTCCCGATCAGTTCCAGCAGTTTACCTCCAATCTTTCTAGGGTTCCATATATATATGGCCTACCAAAGACCCATAAGCCCAGTGTCCCCCTTAGACCCATAGTTGCTTACCATCTGTCACCCGCCTTACCACTGGCCAAATACCTTTCTAGCCTTCTAAAACCCCTGGTCAAAACTCATAATCTTTACTCAGTACAAGATCCATCTGAATTTTTTACAAGATTAAAGAATGTCTCCCAACCTCGTGGTCTCACAATGTCGACTTTTGACGTGACATCACTCTTTCTGTGCCTCCCGCATTCTCTGATCATAGATGGCCTAGAGCAACTTCTTTCTTCTTCCACCCTTCCTAGTAATAATCAAAAAACCATCTTGGATTTATTCACCATCTGCCTTGACATGAATGCTTTAGAATTCAATGGCTGTTTCTTTGTACAGATGAGAGGCTCCCCTATGGGCAGCCCTCTTTCCACAATAGCAGCTGAGATTGTTATGTCTAATCTGGACCGGTGGTTAGTTTCCCATAATCATTTGGGGATCGAGATGTGGTCGAGGTACGTTGACGACATTTTTTGCCTCCATCGTGATACCGACCATCTCCCCATACTCACGGTTTTAAACTCATACCATCATGATCTCCGTTTTACTCACAACCCATCATGTTTTAATTGCATCCCGTTTTTAGACGTTTTAGTCATCAACACTAATGGCACTTTTCA